TTATTATTATTATTATTAAGCCCATATGTGTTTGTCTATTTTAAACTGGCCGCAGTTTCAGTTTGTATGGAATGAGAAAGGAACAGAGAGAACTGGTAATTTTTTGACAGAGCTATTTATTAATTATTTTACTTTGAACAATGTGTATAAAGTGTTCAACATTTTAAAAATGCAAAGCAATGTACCCAAAGTAAGAAAAACAGTGCATAATGAAATAATATGAAACCAATAAGAAATGCAGTAATTTCACATATCCACAATAACCAGCAATATACAGTGGTGCCCCGCAAGACGAATGCCTCGCAAGACGAAAAACCCGCTAGACGAAAGGGTTTTCTGTTTTTGAGTTGCTTCGCAAGACGATTTCCCCTATGGGCTTGCTTCACAAGACGAAAACGTCTTGCGAGTCTTGCTATTTTTTTCCGCTCCCCCCCCCTTTTTCTAAGCCGCTAATAGCCTTTTAGCCGCTAAGCCTTTAATAGCCGCTAAGCCGCTAAACCGCTAATAGCGCTAATCCGCTAAGCCGCTAATAGGGTTGCTTCGCAAGACGAAAAAACTGCTAGACGAAGAGACTCGCGGAACGGATTAATTTCGTCTTGCGAGGCACCACTGTACATGACTCTCAGACTAATCTTGGAAAGCCATGGCAAAGAGAAATGCTTTTAGAACGGTAGCATAGAAAGCAAGGCTCTCCCATCCGGCTACTGGAGCATCAGGTGGCAGATGCTGATGGCGTGGAGTGGTGGCAAAATGTTGGTGCACAGTTGAGTTGTCTTTAATTCTTACGCCATCCTGATGCCCTTCTGTGCAGTGAAGGACGCTGTCCCTTTGCCAGTGCTGAAGTAAGATTCAAATACCACCTCCTTCCCTACAGAACCTCTCAGGTGTTAAGATTGGAAAAGCGGCCCTTTTAAGACTCATGCCACCCTAAGAAGTTCTGCAGGTGACAGCTGAGGAGAGGGCATTATCTGTGGTTTGACTAGTGCCTTCGTTATACACCTTTAGGTGCCAGGCTAAAATGTTCCTGTTTAACTAGGCGTTTGGCTGATTGACATCTTATGCCTTTTTAAATGTGTTGTCGAAGGGGAGGTGGTTATTGGTTGTCTTTGTTTTGATTTTTAGTATGGATGGATGGATGAACAGACGGATGGATGAGCGGACGGATGGACAGAGAGACAGACAGATGATAGATAGATAGATAGATGATTGATAGATAGATAGATAGATAGATGATAGATGATAGATAGATAGATAGATAGATGATAGATAGATAGATAGATAGATAGATAGATAGATAGATAGATAGATATAGATAGATGATAGATGATAGATAGATAGATAGATAGATAGATGATAGATAGATAGATAGATAGATAGAGATGATAGATAGATGATAGATAGATAGATAGATAGAGATAGATAGATAGATAGATAGATAGATAGATAGATAGATAGGTGGTGGTGGTAATCTTATGTTGTTAACCGCCCTGAAATCTACAGGTATACAAATTTTAATAATGATAATAATAATAATAATAATGACGGACCAGCACTTCAAATTGTCCCCAAAATTGATCTGGAAGCCAGCACAGATTAGACAACAATAAAGTAATGTGCTCCCCCCAAAAAAATCCCAGATAGTACGCTTGCCACTGCGTTTTGCACTAGTTGAAGTTTCCAAACATTCTTCAAAGGTAGTTCCATGCAGGTCTACTTTATCTAGGAAAGGGTGTAGCTGGTACTCCAGCCAAAGCTGTGCAAATTTGCCCCTGGCCATGTGTGCCACCTGGCAACCCAGGAGCACCTGCAGACTGCAACCCTGGTCCTTCAAGTAGAGTGCAATCCTATTGACAGCAGGCTTTAGTTTTGTTGTAGCAGTCTTCTAATACAGGAATGGGGAATCTGTGGCTCTCTGGTTCCCCTGCAACTCCTACCACTCCTGACCATTGGCCATGCTTGGTTGGACCTGACAAGAGCTGGAGTCCAAGCACCACAGGTTCCCCTTGCACTTTTCTGATATTTTCTTCTCTCTGAGTGAGTAGTAATTCGCTATTCAGAAAGAAGCCTTTAATGTATTGGGCTAGTGGAACAACAGCTATTTCAGGAGAACAAAACTGAAATACATGAAGAGTGACACGGGGCTGTAAAATTCAGAAACGACAGAATGAAGTCATCAAGGTGTAAAAAAAAGATTTCAGGCTTTGAGCTTTGCAATTTTTCTATTGAAATGTCCTCATTGATTTGTTACAAATACTGTTAACCCTGTGTTTGGAAAATGGCGGGGACATTATCGCTTGTGTTCTCATTTGTAATAAAATAGATTAACTTGCTGTGAAATTTTAACTAGACGGAGACACAACAGTAGCTACCTAATGAACCACAGCTCATTGCTGTTAAGTAGCTTAATAGATGCATACTGATTACGGGGCTGAAAAATGGATCTGTTTACGTGCAAAGAAGAAACCGCTCGCATATATTAAGGGGCAAAAAGAGAATCACAACTGCCTTCCATTATAGAGAACGTCTCAATCCACATCCTGGTTCTCATTGCTGGGTCTTCATTTATCACCAAGTGCCATCTAAATGTAGTTTGTCAAGAGTCCAGACCTCTAGGGAGCTCCACTACTGCTTACCTGGGAAATGGAAATCCTTCTCACATCATGCATGTGCCCACAGGTTTAGTTAGCAATGATGCAAATTTGCTTTCTCTTTCCAGGGTTCATTATTTGCAAGTTAAGCTGTTCTGTCATTGTTCCATTAGGCCAGAGACTACAACTCCCATCTTTCCTGACCATTGGCCATGCTGGCTGAATTTGATGGGAGTTGGAGTCCAACAACATCTGGAGGTCCATGGGTTCTGCTTTAAAGTCTTGGATCAAAAGGGTTCTCTGGGGCGAGTAAGGGATTGGAAACTAAGGGGGAAAACTCTTCAAATGCATGCAATAGATGGGAAGAATTCAAAAAACAGAACCAACGCTTCCTTGTTTCTCTCTCAGGTCCTTTCTCAGTTTAGGTAATTTAATCCAGAGGCCATTTTCACTACCCAAAATAGTAGTGCCTATTGTTCTCCTCCTTTTCTTACCAATATAGTTATAATCTCTGCAATAATATCCTACAGGTCCCCCGGGAAGAGAGAAGGAAAAAACACCCAATGTTTGTTTCAAACTGATTTAAATCAAAAATGCCCTCAAGATACAGAGGCACAAAAGGCCTTGAATAGATTACGATCTGTTTAAGGTTAACAAATATTTTTAATTAGTAGACAAATAGTACAGCAATTAAATGCTTCTCTTTTAAGTTTTATTAGTTATTGTATGTTCATTAAATAAGAGATAATGAGTTAAAAAGCATGTCCGTTGAGGATTAACCACTGTATAATAGATAGGCATCTGTTACATGATTTTGAGGTTCACTTGGCATTGAATGTCCAATAACTATCCTATTAAAAAAACGAATTCCAGGCAACATTTTCAGCGCTGTGTGTTTGGAATAGACAAATGCTACGTACAGTATTGCAATTAGGAAACTCTGTTCTAGGACCCCTTGCACAGCCTGCTGGAAGCAGAGCTTGAAATATGAGGCCTGATTAGTAGCATGGCATCTTAACACATTGCCAAAATAGAGGAAGCTTCCTTATACTGAGTCACATCATTAGACCATCTAGCTCAATGTTGTCTACACTGACCAACAGCAGCTTCTAAGATCTCAGAGGGGACTTTCCCCCAGCCCTACCTGAAGATGCCAGGGATTGAACCTGGGGCATTATGCATGCAGAACAGATGCTCTACCACTGAGTAGTGGCCCTCCCCTCCCAAGAGGACATGTATCACCAACAGAGGACACAAAGATTTACATAAAATTTGCATGTGTTAATTTGTAGGTATAGAAAATTGGAAATAATTACTGTGATTTAAATAGTGGGTTGAAACTGTGACCAGTGTGCCTGCTTAGTCTGCTGTCCAGCTGCTAACTACTGATGGGCAGCTTCAGCACTCATGATCTCCCTTCTTTTTTATCTTTAAATTGGACCTGAATCAATCAGCACTTGAAACAGAGAACTGTATTCCGTATAGTAGGATACCTTACTGACTTGGGAAGCCAGAGCCTAAAATAAAAAATCACTGGGCAGGGCCTGGCATCAGCACGGAGAGAGATCAGAGCTGCAAGAGGTGGTGAGAAAGAGATCTTTGATAGATCTAAGGACGGAGCCTCTCAGACTTTGCCCAACCTTGAGGTAGAGCCTAGCAGATGTAGGTGGACCCAATCCGTAGAGCAGAACACAAAGCAATTCAGCAAAGTTGTGCAGCAGGAGTGGCTAGCCTCCTGAACTACAACTCCCACTATTCCTGGCCATTGACCTTGCTGCTTGGGGCTGATGGGAGTTGTAGTTCAGCAAGATCTGGAGAGTCACAGGCTACCCAACCCTTGGTGTACAGCATAAAAATGCATTGGAGGTATTAAAAAAAAAAAAGGCTGCCCTTTGGGTAACTGATCTTGAAAGTGTATTCTAAAGTAACACCAAATACTATTTGATTGCTTTAATTGCTTACTATGACATGGTCATCTCACACAGCCACTGCCTTAGCTTGTACCCCAGGTATTAAGGAGTAGAGTTAAAGCACTCCCCCCCCACCTCTCTGGGCTCTTTTCTACCTTTGACTTTCTCTCACCAGAGCACTCTGGGGCTGGTTGATGCCTGACTGCCTTTTGAACAGCCACCTGCAGCACTCTCCCTACCTGCTATTCCCAGTGGTCTTGAGGTCTTGAGACCCCCTTGTATTCAAAGGCACTGCAACAGAGCCATGCCAGCATGCATTCCTGCTCTCCCTCTTGACTACCCTTCTCCGTCTCTTCTGCTGATGCACCTAGGATAGTACTGTCTTGGCAGATATATGTGTGTGTTCTGATAGGTTTGGGGGATGGCCTAGCCATCAGTCTGAATTGGGGCAGCAGTGATGTACTCCAAATACTTTATTTTAATGTGCTTCTTCTTTCTAAAGGAGAGAATTCATGACAGCCCTTCACCAGCCCCATCCATGGAAGAGAGTCAGCGGCCCGGGAGTCATGCCTCTTCACACCAGAGCAGCAGCATTTCAAGTTCTCCATCGCAGCTTGACAACACATCAGATAGAATTGGTTGGTACCCTATTCATGGCGGCTGTTCCGATGCCACTGTTGTCTGGAAGTGTCCTTTGTCAAAGATCTCTCACAAGAGACAGGTGGAAAGAAAGCTAATTGTAGGAAGTGAGCATATATCCAAAGGATGCAAACAATGACTGTGGGTGGCAATAACATTTAATCAGTTAGATTAGCCACTTAAGAGCACAAGCGTAAGATTGTTCTCAGAGTTCATCCCACTGAGTTCAGTTGGATTTATTCCTAAGGAAGATTGCACACCCAATTTTAAGTGGAGAGAGGAATATGATACAAGCTTGAATCCAATTTATTTAGGTAACAGTTATACTTAGTACTTCCTCACAGAATATGCTCTGGTTGGTTTCAGCCCTGGAAAATTTAGGAAACAGATTATATTAGTTTAGGAGAGCTCCTGAAAGTCCGAGTAAAGAATATGAGCTGGATAGACCAATGGTCTGACTCTTTGTAAGGCAGGCTACCTACGTTCCTATAGTCTCAGTCTGCAATCTGATTGCAACCTGAAAATCACCATATTTATTTTAAAATGTTTGCTCTCTGACAACAAACATTCATCAGAGTCATGAAAAGTATGTTGATAATAATAATAATAATATTTTAGAATAGAATTTTAATAGTTCTGTTAAGTGTGACAAATGTAATTTTTAATCAATAAAGAAAATAAGAAAGCCAAATATCATATAGTTACCTCATCCATGTGATTTTACAGGTGCTACATTAAAAGAAAAATCTCAGTGGCAAAGATTATTGTCTTTGAACTGTCATCCATCAGTTTGGGTTGTTAACCATCTAGCTGTCTATATCTGTCTATTAAGTGAGAGGAATTACAGATAATTACCAATTCCTTAAATCCTCTGGTCTATTAAAAGCATTTTTCTTCCGAAATGATTTCAATGAATCACTCTTCTTAATTAGTTAATCTGAACATTTCAGAGGAAATCACTCATGTCTCAACTCATCTGCAGTTTTTCACTTTCTTTGTGGTTTTCTTTGTAATGTGCTTGCAGGCTTATTTCCCCCTGTCTGCAAGAATTGGTAATTCCCTCCCTCCAAAAAAATAATAATAATAATCCATTCATTTTGTCCATACCCCTAGACTCCCATTTCTCATGTGTATGACTAATGGATGGAGGGTGCGCAGTGCTATTTTTCTAGAAAAATAGGTGCCAAAACGTACCATGAACACCTCCTTCATTCTCTTATAATGGCAATGGTGCCCACTGGAAAGGTGCCAGAACTCAGTTCTGGTGAGTTCCTGCTGGAAAAAACCCTGGGGGTGGCATGGAGCTAAGCCTCATGGTCTTGCTCATGGCAAGTGTGCTTATCTGGCTCTTCCCTTCTCACAGAAGACAGAGCCCCCTGTTTGGGAGCCCCAGTGATGTGGAGAAGGGGCCAGTGGGAGTATAGCTGGCTGCTCCCTTCAGATTTTCACTGAACATGCCATTGTAGCAGGGCACAGGGGTGTTGGAGTACATCTGTTGGCAGAAAACATAGCCCCAGTCTACCTTTAATGCGTCAGGCTTTTATATGGAAGGGATAATGTGGGCTCCTAACACTAGGTGCCTTCTTACACAACCACTTCAGAATTGATCATACAAGGTGCATGAGCAAATGGTGCATATGGATTTTTTTGAACTTGTGAATGTGTCCAACATGGTACAGAATATGGGAACCGGGCATTTTTTTTTTAAAAAAGTGAAAGATAATTCCTAGAAATGGTGGTGGTTTATATTTGAATGATCTAACTGGTGTGCATTTTCACGTTCCACAGCAATTTTGCTGTCATCCATTACTAGACTCCAGTTGCCAGTATTGATCACAGAGCAGGGGTGGAGAACCTTTGGTCCTCTGGATGTCAGACTACAACTCCCATCATCCTTGGCCATTGGCTAGGGCTGATGGGATCTGAAGTCCAGCAACATCTAGAAGACCACAGGTTACCTATCACTGATATATGTGGGGAAAAGTGTTTTGCAAATTCACTTAGAGATGTGACCTCTCGCACACTAGGAAATAGTATTACTTGGTATTTCAGAGAGCATAAATGGATTGACATTTGAATATACCTCAGGCAGATTAGTAGAATATCATCAATGGTGATAAAGGAGACAACTAAATAATTATGTGAAAGCATCTGTAGTAGGAAGAGTAGGTATCTCTCCTGCTAAGGCTTGCTTCAGTTGACACAATCCTACTTCAATCATGGTGAAGAAGAAGAGGAGTTTGGATTTGATATCCCACTTTATCACTACCCGAAGGAGTCTCAAAGCGGCTAACATTCTCCTTTCCCTTCCTCCCCCACAACAAACACTCTGTGAGGTGAGCGGGGCTGAGAGACTTCAAAGAAGTGTGACTGGCACAAGGTCACCCAGCAGCTGCATGTGGAGGAGCGGAGACACGAACCCGGTTCCCCAGATTACGAGACTACCGCTCTTAACCACTACACCACACTGGCACACTGGTGGGGTTAAGCTTTAAGAACATCTGTGAATTCTTTGCAGTGGCCATAAAGTTAACTATTCTGATTTCTCTGGCTGTGATGTAATGTAGCCCAGTCAAGGGCCACCAGTGGAAAAGGGACACCGAATAACTAAAAGAAGGCCCTTTCCCATTTGGCTTTGTATGAATTGCCCAGCTATGTTGAAGCTCTTGGGCTTCACAAATCTCTTACCCACTAGCCAAAGCAGTGTTCATTATAAAACCTGATCCTTGGTGGCAGGTATGTGGCACAACACATTTCCAGTTCCTGAATAGCAATCTCAAGAAGACTGAGCGCCCCCAAGAATATAGTAATTGCTCTTCATTGTTGTACGTTGAGAATATTGTTTATAATTTTGGCAAATAAGCAGGTCAATGACCCTCACTCTTTCTCCTTCTTCACTCTGTCATGCCCATTCTTTTAGGCATGCTGCCAACTAATAGAGAGGGTGAACCTGTGGATCAAGAACCTGGGCCCAACCCAAAGAAGCTCCTGAAGGAAAAAGGTAATATCCTCTAATATTTCGTTCTTCACAAAGGATCACAGACCGGATTCACTGCACTCTTCCTGTCTGTTGAAAAATGATCACAGTAGCTAAGTGTGTAGTTTTCGTTTGGTTTTAGATTGCAATTAGATGGCATTTGTTGCAAAGCCCCCACCCCCTCTGTACTCTGTCTTCTAACCATGGAGAACAAACAAACAAACCCTGTCTGGTTCATAGGCTGCAAGTTCTGCTTACGCGGTTCAATCAGTTGTTAGGGATATTGGTGAGCTTCTTTCATGTAGAGGTAAAACAGCTGATCCAGACCTCTGAGGCCTCAAGCTTCATGGAAATAAACACACCAGCGATAGGGACAGACAGAAAAGCAACCCACAAGTATAGACGTGAAGTTCAAAAGAGCCAGGTTTTATTCATTGTGAAGAGAGCATTTACACAGGTTGACGGAAATAATACATAATTTCAACACAAAGATAGATGTTGATGCCCTTGGGTGGCAGTATCTATTCCCGAATAGTTCTAGAGGACCAAGACCAAGTGTAGTGCAGGGGTAGCCTTGAGATATTAGGGTCTTGAGCTCCATAAGGCTACATATATCAAACCCTGTATTGAAATACCCATCTGGTTCCTTCTTGTCTTGCCTTTAGACACCAGATCAAGACACTGTTTCTTCAGTATACTTTTGCTGTCCATGGAGAAGGACAATACACACACACACACACACACACACACACCACGTACAGAAGCTGCCTAGTTTGGCAGCTGAATCTTACTTTGATAGTGGTAACAGGATAGTGACCTCCACTGTACCTGAGGCTACTGCATTGATGAGGGTGCAGCATAGGTTCAAAAGCACAAAGGGACATAACCACCAGGCCCTTGGTCCACCTAGTTCAGTATTGTCTACACCAGGGGTCTGCAACCTTTAAGACAAAAAGAGCCACTTGGACCCGTTTCCGAAGGGAAAAAAACCTGGGAGCCGCAAAACCATTGCGACATTTAAAGCATGCGTGCCACTGCCCTCCGATCTGACAGCGGGTGAGAAGGTGACGTCGGGACGGTGCGTGACTAACGCACACACCGCCCCCATGCGACGTCACAGCCAGTACAGTGCCCGCCACAGTGGGGAGTGTCGGGGCGCACAATGTGCCTCCTCCCCTTGCTAGTATCCGCCCCGGAGCCGCGGCAAAGGTGTAAAAGAGCCACATGCGGCTCCGGAGCCGCGGGTTGCAGACCCCTGGTCTACACTGACTGGCAGCAGCTCTCTGAGGTTTCAGACAGGGGGCAAAATAATAATTATCCCCAGTTACGGGTTGAACATGGCACCTTCTGCATGTCAAGCAGATGTTCTACCTCTGAGCTATGGCTGTTCCCTTGTAACGTGGCTCTTGGGAATGTGCCCCAGCATTTGTCACCTGAGTCTTCTGCCTAACAGATGGTCATCTTATCAGAGTTAGGTCCTGGTTTTGCTGCTGCTTCTTTCCCCCAGTTTTGCTGGTTGCTGCATTCATTGAAGAGTGTATGTGTGTGTTTTGCGATGTCTGAGCTTTCTGGTTGTTGGGTTTTTTTGTTGCTTTGAAGGACTATATGAATGGAAAAGCAGAGTGAACATGTCTACATAAATAAATTCAAGTATAATATGGTATGCAAAAATAGATTAAATATGAATATGACTAAAGATTTTGAGTGCTTACTGTGACTCAGCAAGTTGGCTGACAGTTGCATTTCTGAATACAGTCCCCCCCCCTAGAACACCCATTTTGGAGTGAGCCTGTGGCTACAGATTATTGCAAGTTAGATGGCAAAATTATACAAATTTTGATTCACACTCCACCAAAATTATACCAAGCAGATGAATATTAAATAGGGAATGCCAGTTCAGGAGTGCAAATTCTGCAGTCATATCTGGGCTGTGCCGTGTAGCTTACCTATATACTTCTGTTACTTGTGTTTTGTATACAGTATTTCCTTCCGTAATATTTGTATATTTGTATGAAATGTGAGCCTCATTTTTCATACCCTGACTGTTTGTCTTTACCGAGAAAAATAATAATAATAGTGTTTATTCCTGTGAAGGTTTTCAAAGTTATTATTAAGGTGGTATGTAGTTAACTCAAAATTATCAACATTTATTAAGTATGACAAGTCAGCAATTTACACAAGCATGGCAAACATATGTTTTCACATCTGGTTTGAGTAATATCATCATGATTTTTAAAATGATTTATAGCTCTGCAGGCCATAAAATGCCAGCTTTGCTGTAGCTTGGAGTTTTTCAGTCATTGAGCAAATTACTAAAAGCATGTAATAGGGGCAAGGTGGGGGAGCAGGGGAGTGAGGGAGAGGTGTTTGCCCGCGTCTTAAATGTAACTCCAAAAGTTTGGTATTCCATAACAATTCGCAGGGCAACTTGTGCAAAATCCAGCTACGGTTGTTAACACTCCATATTAAGAAGCACTAAAATGCTGACAAGGTGATCTTGTTCCTCAATAGGTAGGGAGCAGAATTCAGAGTGTGTCCCTGTAGGATGCCGCAATAATCAGGACCACCTAGGGGCAGGGAAGAGGGGTTACAGGTCCAGATCCAGCAGGGGAGCCAAACTGTGAGCTTTCATTTAAAAAAAAAAAAAAGTGTCCCTAGCACATGTGGAATGAAAGTTATGAAGCAAAATGTGCAGGCACCATTTGAAGCAATTGCTTTGTTAGTTATGAGCTTACCCTTACCTTTCAGTGTGTTTCACCAGTGAGTGAAGTCAGAGGCGTGTCTGACAAACGCTATAGAGAAGCATAAAGTCACACAAACCAGAGAAGACACAAACATGGCTTCCGAATGGCCAAGGAAATCCCTTCTCCAGAAAATACAGAAGAGATTTCCTGGGCCATTTTGAAGCCATGTTTAGGTCAGGGATGGGGGGGGGCGCATGTCAAACTAGTTTTTCCTCTAGAATCAGACAATATCAAAAGGCTGCCCTGTTAATTTTTAAGGGACTTTCTGTGTCATTTTGATGCTGCCTCCCCATCTTTTTCCATAGAGAAGTGATTGCTATCCAAATAATATCAACAACAACAACAACTGAGAAATCAAGAACTGCAGTGTTGTGGTGACAGGGCAGTAGTGTGTCCTCTCAAAAGTAGCAGCAAAAACAGGAATTCGTGCTCTTTCTAACTCAGATTAAGCTTCATGCTATCTTCTTCTTCTTCTGCTTCTTCTTCAGTATGTGGGTATCAAGTAATTGCCCTGCTAATGGAAATAAAATCAATCATTACCATATATTGCAAGGAGCAGGAGGATTGTTCTCGACGATGTGTAGGCTATGTCATCCCTACAAAGTAGCCCAGTGATGCTATACTTATTTGTGGGGGGACAAGTAGTGTATGATCCGCTTGCAGTGTAGTACAGTGTTGCTATTCAGTCTCTTTTAGGTAAATGCAGTTGGTGGAGGCAGGGGTTAAACTTATAGCAGCAATGGGCAAGGCAGGTGATTGATTGCTTTAGCACCCATAGAGGAAAAATAGGGGGATTCACTGCTGCTGGTGGTAAAAACTTCATGTCAAAGACTGAAATACTTTTTGCTCAAAACAAGAAAAAGAAAGTGGTAGCTATTTGACTTGTTCTGGTAACATTGCTGTAGTTATTAAGGAAAAAATAAATGATCACAACAAATGTTTTTAGAATGCGCAGCTTGCTTTTTAAGAATTTAATGTTGATTTCTCCAGGCATGGGCTTAGTTGCCGTAAATCATCAATCTCCTTTGATCACAACCCCCATCCGAAATGTACTTTTATCTAGTACTGCTAACATAAGATCTACTGACGAAAGGTCTACAGCAACATAACCAGTTTACAACTCATGAAACTTAAGTTATTTCCACCATTCAGGATTGGCACAGGGGGAAGAACAGGGCTCTTGAGCTGGATGGCAGGCAGAAATCCATCAGGTTAGGCCTTTTCTATTATGGAAATATCTCCTGTTGCTTTGTCCCAGCTCCTGCCAACCTAGCAGTTTGAAAGCATACCAACGCAAGCAGATAAATAGGTACTGCTGCAGCGGGAAGGTAAACGGCGTTTCCATGCACTCTGGCTTCTGTCACAGTGTCCCCTTGCGCCAGAAGCGGTTTAAGTCATGCTGGTCACATGACCCGGAAAGCTGTCTGCGGACAAACGCCGGCTCCCTTGGCCTGAAAGCAAGATGAGCACCACACCCCATAGTCACCTTTGACTGGGGTTAACCATCCAGGGATCCTTTACCTTTTTTTACCTTTACATCTATGGGGAAAGCTTCACCTGATGGCATTCTGTCTGTCATATATCTTACTTTTTATTTTGTGTACTCTATCCCTCCTACAAAAGAGGGTATGAATGTTCTTATGGCACAAAGTGTATGCAAGTTTTTGTACACTTTTGAGTGTGAGAAGGAGAGCCCAATTCACATGCAGTGTTCTGGGCCCCTAAAAATCATGTCGGCAGCCTTAAGTTTAATTCTCCCCTGTATTATGTAGTCTCTATAAACTGGAAAATATGAATTTGTTCAAAATAGGCAAGGGAAACAACACAACAACACTTTTCTGCATTTTTGAATATATGGCACTTTTGTTTAGCTGAGGATGGGTAAGTTAGTTCATGACATTTTTGCATGTGTTCATCATAAGTCAATTCCATTTGTGCTTTAATCTGTTAATTTTAAATTGTTCTTTTAATGAGCATGAAAATTTAGCATTTAAACACATATTTAAATATCCATTTTAAGATGTATTTTTGCCTCAAAATATGCACTTTCAAACATACTTTGAGCCAAAAATCGCTCCAGAAGTTTCAGGAATTAGCTAACTTCCAAACCAGACATGAAAGGTGCAACTGAAGTCTGTTCATAGTGGTTTTTACGAACACCAGATTCCTCAAGCGGCCCAAGTTTTAGCAATAGATATCTAAGCTAATTTGTAACACTGTTTTTTGAAAAAGCAATTGCCTACAAATATTGTGAAAGGGCCATATCCTTTTCCCATTTGT